GCAATGCTTATGCTGAAGTAGTGCCTCCAATTATATTGATACCCTTGTGATAATGATCTAACATTGAATGAGAAGTAAATCCACGGATAATCCTTTCTCCAGCATCTGTTTTAACATTCCAAGTATCCCAAGCAACCAGTAGTGGCTAAATAGGATGTCCATGGAACATTCTCTCATCTTGAATTTACAGATTTCAATACTTAACATTGTTTATTCTTAACTTTTGGAATGAAAAAGAAAATATGATGCCAGCCATAGATGGCTTGATGATTCCTTCACTGGTTTTTCACCATTATTTTTAATAAATTATCAAAGTAATCTATCTGCATTTAGTATATCTGCGAGTTTCATATGTTTCCTAAATTTAATAGTATTTACATCATGCATTGTGGATGAAGATTCTTGTCTTGATATTTTTGCTCTAAATAGGTGAAGTCGAGACTTGGAATGTCACTTGCTGTGTTCAAAACATGTCAAGTTTGAGCAGGGAGAGATGCTCATAAAGCCTTTTCTGAATGTCTGCAATGACAACTTGCCAATAATAAGTACTAGATGATTCCATCTTCTCCCACTTCATATTTTTGCTGAGAAATTATTTTTATTGAAATATTTTATGCAAGAATACTATTTTCAGAAACATCTTATTTACACACTCTTAATTTCTCCATCTAAGAGTTAATGTATGATCTGCTTAGCTTGCTTTGTGTTAACCTGAATGGAAGTTGGTTCATGATAATTGGTGTATTGGTTGCTATTCTGCTTTCTCATCTATGATATGGTGCGTATGGTTATTTTTAAAATAGGATTAATTTATTTTATTTTATTCCATTATAATGGTTAACTATCTGCCTTTTGGAGTCAGACTGCAAAAACGTGTTATCATTTGAGAGTTTTTATTAGTGATTTGCTATTAAAATTCTGCTTTCTCATCTATGATATGGTGTGTATGGTTATTTTTAAAATAGGATTAATCTATTTTATTTTATTCCACTATAATGGTTAACCATCTGCCTTTTGAGAGTCAGACTGCAAAAACGTGTTGTCATTTGAGAGTTTTTATTAGTGATTTGCTATTAAAGTCTAACAAACATAATAGACTTCTAAATCCTAACAGAAATGGTCAAACAATTTCATTGGATTTAACAACATTTACTAAATTTATTGACAAACAATTTTTGAGATTTAATAGTTTCAGGAACTAAATCCAAATTTACAAGATTTACTATATCCTGCTAATTGAAATCTCATCTGTTGTCATACAACTCCTTAACATTACATCGAAAGTACTATTAAAATTGATTTTTTTTTTTTGTAAAATGTATATTTTCATGCATATATTTTGATATGATTATAGTATAAAATATTACATAAATAAATAATAAGTAAATAAATATACAAAAATTGTGGCACATGTCTATCCCCAAATAAAAAAAAAATAACTGTCCCTAAATTATTCGCAGACTTATTTGATACACCCAAAGAAATTCAAATCCCTTTATTTAAGAGCTGCACATGCCTGCCAACTTTTGAAAAGAGATGAGTACCAACAAATGAAGCCACAAAACATCTATAATCAATGAAAAGCATATTGCAGGCATCAATCAACTTAATTGATAAATATTTTGAAGGTTATCATAACATTTTGAAATTAAATCTCATTTACATCAAATATGAGCTTCTTACACTGGAAATTGAAAAAAAGAAAAACTATGCTATTTGAAGAAATAAATAATTGAATACTCCATGATCATTAAAAAGAGGCTAATAGTTCCCCATGTAATGACTAACAAATTCAGGAGAAGTTGTATGCTAATCTTGAGTGAAGGCGAGTTGACTACAGTGTTCAATTAAAGCTAGCATTAGAGTGCCACACCTTGATTGCTTGATAGAGGACAGGCTTATAGCACATTCGAATCTAGCGATGAAGCCTGAGTACATCGATCACTTCTCAGGCTTCAAATTGATGGGAGCATCAAGCATCGATTAAGATCTTTATAACACTTTTGTTAGATCACAGTGATTTGGTACAGAGCCTCTAGAAAAGCTGCTGAAATAAATAATGAATTTGTTCTCTCTATCCAGCCTAGATTTAACAGTTATATAGAAGAAATTAGAGGATAAGTAGAGCAAAAAAAGCTTGAATATGGAAATAAAAACAGCTGAAAAATACAGAAAAGCCAGAAAACTGTTTTTCAATATGCTCCCTACCATTTTGTTAAATGCCGAACTGTGAGTTGCTTGCAGATATTGTTCGAGCGTGCTAGAGAAATATTACAGCTATCGTGATGCAGGTTGCAACAGTGCAGATCAGAGCCTGAAAAGGAAAAAGATTTTTGTAGTTATTTGATAGCCATATAGAAACTAAAGGATTCTTTATAAAAGAATGCATCATAACACAGAAAAAAACTTGTAGCTTCATCCAAGGAAATTTTCATTGCAGAAAGTATAAGAAAAGTTAAATAATTACTCTTATTTCAAAGTATAAGACAAGCCTTTGCTCATAGTAAAAGCTTGTATACTTGGTAAGCAAAGAGATGTATTCAAACTTAAAACAAATCTCTGTCCATGGAAGATTTGTATGCAGACACGTATTTGATTCGCACAAGATAATACATACAAGTCTCTGCCATTGGCATTTGGAGTGTGCATTAATTGGTTTAAACCGAAGGACTGAACCAAACCAAACATATTGATTTATTTGATTTGATTTATTAAATCACAATTTGATTTTAGATTGAGATCAAAGGTCATTTGGGTTACTTTTAGTTGATTTGACTTTAAAAAAAAATTAATTAAGAAAAAAAACAAACTTATATTCTAGTCGTCATAAAAAACCCCTCCCACATAAAACCGCCCAGAACCAGGTTGGTTCAACCTCTAAACCGACAAACCGGCTCCGATTCTAAGGAACCATTCCGTTCACGGGCATTTACATACATGCCGCCCGATTTTATATATTTTACATTCTAACACCTAAACTTTATTTTTTACATTCATACCACCCAAATCACTCATATCACATCAAAAAAATCATTATTACAAAAACTTCAATTTAAATACATACAACTCAATTTTATTTATTTAAATATCTAACACCTAAACTCTTTTTATTTTACATTTATACCCCCAAAAGTATCGACATCATCCAAAATTATTCATATCACATAAAATATATCCCTATTTCAATTTTTAAAAAGTGAAATACAAGTTTTCATGCTCAGAAAAAATGACATGTTAAAATTCAATTTTATGTGTTAGTTATTTAAATGCATATGAATTGATTGGGATGTAAATCTTATGTATTGTCATTTTTAAGTACATTTATGATTTATTAGGTCATCTGGTTGAACCTTTAAACCTTGAACCTCTTCTTCTACTGGTTCAATATCCGGTCTGATTTTCACAATCTTTATTAAATCAATCCATCAACCAAATTATCTGAATTAATCAAATGCACACCACTTTATTAGGATTTCAAAATTTGTTTAAACCAAAACCGAACTAGATAAATTCAATTATATTGCCCTTCAATCCCACATTATTTGGTGGGTTTGGCTCACTCATTTGGTTTAGTTTGATTGGTTTAACAAATTTGTCAACCAATCCAACCAAACTGACCAAATGCAAACTCATGACTAACATAAACCATCTCATACTCCGGATGTAAGCATTATCACATGTAAATTATTCAGCTATTTCTTAAACGATTGGTTATGATAAATTCTTTGCAGTAAAATTTTCCATAATAATCTCTCCACCCAAAAATAATAGTATATCATATAGAATAAAAAAAATAGTAATGGATATCTAAAAGAAAGCACTGGAATATAGTGACAAAATGGCTGATCTGAGAACTGAAAAACGAAAAGAATAGCTACTTACAGCAAAGACACAGGCAACAAGACCATCTCGCTCTCTTGGATCTCTGTTGTAGTATTTACAAAAGTAGAGAAGTGCTGCAACGTACCATAGTAAAGGGCACAAGCAACCCAACAGTAATCTGCATAATAGCATGTTATTATGAGAGCGTTTACACATACCACCTAATTCGCATAAATTTACATTTCTAACAGCTAAACTTCAGTTTTTACATTTTACCACCCAAATCTTTCATGTCAGATCAAAAGTAACACCATTTAAACGTTTTAAAAAAGTTAAATACACCTTTTCATGCATAGGTAAGATGGTATGTATTTAAAAATTGAATTTTAGGAGTTTGATAAGTACAAAGATAAGAATTGAGTGGTATGTATGTAATCTTCCTATTATAAAACGAGGAAGATGAAAATGGAGAGATGGATAGATTGCAATGGCCTACTCACGAACACCATCCAATTCCACAGCCAAAACATGGTAGGGGCTTGTCAAATTTCAGCACCCTCGGGTCTTCTTCATCTTGAATCAGCGTATATTTCCCCCTGCAATCTTTACAGTCACAATACTCCCCTGAAGCAGTTTATGTGAATCAGATACAATTCTCAATTAGTAAGCTATAAAACTATGATGTTTGATAGAACAAGTATGCTCGCAATAGTAACAATTTTCTAACATTTCTGCGCTAAGTTTAGCAGAGTGGAGTGAAATTCAATACTATAAATACAAGTGATTTTTTAAATAAGAAATCCATACTTGGAGTTGCATATACACATTAAACACAATCAAGCCAAAATTTTGCATTTTGACAGATACTACCATTAGTAATTGTTCAAATGGAATTGAGCCTCATACAAACTACCTTTATTTTGATGCGAGTAAAGTATCAAAATAATCTCTTGACTATTTACATGGAACCATTTTTTTGTCCCAGAGTCTATAAAAATGCCAAAATAGTCTTAGACTCTTTAAATTGGAGCTAAAATAATCCTCCATGGGGACACATGTATAGACTTTGGGACTAAAATTTCTCCCTGCAAAAATTCAGAATATTTTGACACTTTTCAAATTTTAAAATTGAATTGGAAAGTAATTGGAGAGAGGATTAATAAGAAAGATGGAAACCAGATTTTCATTTGCATGAATTATTATGGAGTGATGACCAGTGGAGTGGAATTTTGCCGCAAATTCAACACAGATCTGTATCAAATTTCAATAACTGTTAACAAGACTGGCCCATCTAAAAACTTCAAATCTTGGTTACATAGAAAACAAATCATAAAATAATACTAAAGAATTTTACTCCTTTATAAGTGAGATGAGAATGCTTAGGTGGATGAGCAGCTTTACACATAAGAGACAAGACATGAAACGAATATATCCATGAAAGGGCTATGTAGCTCCAGTGATAGACAAGATTAGAGAGAGTCCATTAAACGTCGACCATCCGATGATCCGGTAAAAAGAGTGAATGTTTTAGGTTCGATTTATGTTAAGAAAGGTAGAGGTAGACCTAAAAAGACGTAGGCATGTTGTATAAAAAATGATCTTAATTTATTAGAATTAAATGAATATATGACACTCAATAGGACACAATGGAGAAAAAGGATTTGTGTAACTGACTGCACTTAGTAGGATAAAGGCTTGTTGTTCTTGTTGTGTTGTTCTTGTTGTAGAAATACAACTTGGTGGTGTCCCAAAACCAAACAACTATCAATTCCTGAAGTTCCGTACAGCCTGCAATAATTTGAATTATGAACAATATAACTCATTCTTTTTTGGGTTTCTCCAATTTTCTGGTCACTTATAGTTACAACAGTGATTTGTAAATAAGGAGTTGTAATATTTAGCACTCAGTGTGGCTTATCCATTCAAATACAAGAGAAAGTGTTTTTTTTTTTTTTTTGAAAATGCAGGCAAAAAAAAAAACTAGTGAAGATAAATCTTTTTGGCAGATAATCATAAATAATAATAATAATAATAATAATATAACTGAAAATGACAATGCCATTAAGCTAAAAGCTCTCATCACCCCTTTCCAGGAAATGCATAGGTAACACAATTATTTCTAGTTCTTGTCGTGTGCTATAATATTGATGATACGTTAAAAGATTTTGCATATTCACATCGCACAACGAAGCCATATACAAGCAGAAAAATGGAAAGAATCCAAAAGTTAACAAATTTTTTACTGAAAATTTTGAAAAAGGAAAATAATACAAGACTCGGTCCCGACAACATAATCAATTATGTTTATTAATATTATAAAAATCTAACCTTCCCTTTAATTAAAGAAGATGGGATTCCTTATTCGCAATTCAAAGGTACAAGAAAAGTTAACAAAAACTCTTGTCAACTTAGAAAAAGTCATTGACTCTTCATCTCAACTCACAATCCCTCAAAAGTAGCTCGCTTGATATCTACGAATTAAGCTAGATCTCAAAAACATCCAATCAATTGAACTACGTAGGATAGAATAAGGTTTAAACTTTAGAATGATAATTATAATATACCACCCGAGTAATTTGATGAATTGGGCTAAACCAATGTTGAAAATTAGAATTTGAAATATGGTTAAATGGCCTAATTGACCCAACTCATGGGCAAGATGAAAGTATGACTAAGTTAGGGCTATTAAATTCATTTTTTATATTTAAAGCACATGGCACTTCTCAGGCTATAGTTAATTATCCCAAAGTCAACTTATAAAGAGTGCGGTATATTTTAAAAAAGTTGCTTGTAAATGAATCAAAATGCATGAGAATAGTCATTGAGGAATCTGAGGCCACATGTAATGGGGTCAGATCAACTCAATAAGAACCTAAAAAAGCCTTAGGGATGTGACTGAGTTCACTGAATTACATATTTCGTTAAGCTTACTTAGAAGCGTCAGGCTTGTCTTTGCTTGAGTAACTGTATTTTCCCTCTCAAGATCCATTCTAGAGGTCAACATTTGTTTTCTATTTTTTTTTCTTATTTTTTCTAATTCTAGCCATCACATCTCAAATTAGCATCAAAGCTACAATTTTATTTCATTCTATATGCATTTTGGTATTTCAAAAACAGCTTCATCAAGTTGCTCATCACCATCTTAAATTTAATATGTTCGTCGAAGATCTCTAGTTGATTTTCATTTATGATAATTCATTGTTAATCAAACAGTAAAAATTCTTGTTCGCAAACATTAAACCTAACTTGAGACTTTATTTTCCTCATTTAGGTCCCCTACTCTCCTTCAATAACCCTCCATAAAATTTATCTTTAATTACCAAATAAATAGCATCATTCAAATTTAAGTTCCTAACAGACCTCCACTATATCTCCTACAATAACAAGAAATATTTAAATTCAAATCAATCCTAGCCAAATCCCATTCATATCTAAAACCCAAACCTCCCTTTAATCACTTACTCTCTCCCATATACCAAACATGAACAATAAAATCAATGTTCATGTCAACAATCAACGTTATACAACGAAGTGTTAAAAAAGAACCAAAAATAATATAAAATTAAAGAAAAAAAAATCAAAATTAAGAATAAAAAAACAAATCAAAGATAAGACAATGGGAAAAAAAACAAAAGGAAAGGGAAAAAAGATTAGATTTCATAAATCAACCATGAATCACCTAGGCAATCTACCTCCTATAAAGCATCCATTTTTTTCTCACTCAAAGAATCTGAAAACCTCTAAATCCTGAGAAAAATACTCCATGTGTACAGAAAGCACTAAATGGTTTCGTGGATTATTTGAAAATGTTTGTTTGTATCTAAATTCATTAATGACCTTCCAAAAATACTAGGTTAGAAATAACACTTACATGAGTCTTATTTAGAGCTGGAAAATTTGAATTACATTTTAAGAATCCTTTGGACGCTACCACTCCAGCCCTTGATGACCAAAATAACAAAATATAAATATGGTCCACAACTTATTAAGCATGCGCCAACACCAAACTTGTGAGCATTTTTAAGGCATTAATCTAACAATAAGCCGAACCATATTGCATACACATCACATCCCAAATCAATTAATTTTTGGGAATTTCAAGATAACCTGTCTAGTTTATAAATAGGACCCCATAAATGTTATTTTTATTAATTGTGCATTCAACAGATTATAAAAGGGTTGATTCATATCGAGTTCAAGCAAGCTAGCTTCAACTCGTAAGAAAGAGAGAGAGAGAGGGAGTGAAGACATACTTAAAAAAATACATTTTTACAAAAACTTGGTTGATTTTGAGTTCAATCATATTAATTTGACCAATCCATCATCAATTGAAAGCAAATCAATCTTGATTTCGAAACAAATAAATTTGTGCAATTATCAAGTGAGCTTTGAACAAAATTTCCTAGCATAATTACAAATTGATATTTTAGGACCTTGAACCCTTAGGAAAGTCCAGGTACATCAAAACAAAAGCTTCATACATCAAATTGACCTAATGAAACTAGAACTTCCACTCAAGAATGATTCTTTGCACCTGGAAATGTGAGAGGGAGACAAAGTGAGTGTAAGGAAGATAAAGATGAGCAGATGTGATATGTAGTTTAAATGTGATTATTTTTTTTTAGTTTTAATCTAATTTTTTATTAATTTTACGTTTTTGGAAGGTGTTTGTGTTGTATTTTACAGGAGCTAGATAAGAAGAATGATGAGAGACTAAATGATGAAAATTTAATGTTAAGCAAAAGAGAAGAGCCAAAGCATGCATTCAACATGAGAAGCCAGCAAATTGGCTCCAGTTTGGTGGTGCCTAGCACTACTAACCGATGCCTAGGAGTCCAATGCCCTAACTCTAAATGACGTGGAGAACATTGAGGCGGCAAAAGGGTCATTGAACTTGCAGCGCCTAAGCGCTAGTGCCCAGCATTCAGACGCCATATTCCAGCACATAAGAGCTAGTCGCGTGTTTTGATGGCTTAATTACATCATTTCGTCAAGGGAAGGATATATGTCCATCAGCCGAACCATTTGAAGGTATCCAGTGTCAATTAGAGTGTTCTAAAACTTATTTAAAGTGTGGATAGATGCATGTGTGGAGAGTGTGTGAGGGTTTTGTGTGTAAATTGCTAGTATAATCAAGTGAAACTTGTGGAGGATGAATAAAGTCTAGTGTAACAACTCCGTGATTTCCATGGGACTTTTCATTCCCAACTCTTTGTATTTTGTTTTACTTTGATGAATAAAGTATTGTTTCAAAGCATGAGTAACGAGTAGATTCTTCTTTTTCATTTGGATTGATAATTCAGAATTTTTTTGTTTAACTACTATGTTGTGATTAAATTGGAGCTTCGTGGTGGTGATGTGTTATGTGTTAACCTACCTATTTTCATTTACTATCAATTTGGTCAATTGATTTGTTAAAATATGTTGTGATCTAGTTGTGCGAGAGCAGGCTAGTGAAAGAATTAGATTAACTCGTACTGATTTAGAAGAATAGGAATATTGCTTCTAGATTAATGCAATTATAATAGAAAATGTGGAATTCTGGGATAATCACTTGATTTAGGGAACTAAACCAGTATGGTTTTTAAACCTACTTAGATGCCTGGGAGGGAAAAAGGAAGAGT